GTCTTTATTTTGATAAAAAAAACCGATTGACTAGGAAATCTAAAAGTTATTTGAATACCCGATTATTGTCGCAGCCAAAACTTCTCTTACCCATTTACATACTTCGTTTCAAAGGCCCTTTTGGCGTCTTTTCCTACTTGCAGCTGACCAGGAGATGAGATCCCAAGAGCTTCTTGTAGGAATTTAATTTTTCCTGCTCAGAAATTTACAAAATATCTTCTCTAGCTATACTTGACACAACATTGAGGAGAAAACAAATTTCTTTTCCGTGCATGATGCCTTTAAGTTAGCAAGTCCAAGTACTGCCCCAAATTCCTTTCGAAGCTCTTCCTCATACCACATAAACTGTGATTGAGGTGTCAATTTCAGCCGAATCGCAGACCTTTTCCATTCGGACAGGCTTCATCGCCGCTATCACTCAAGCCGCGGTGGACAGGCAAGCCAAGCACTAATTCGATTGTTCTCGATGGCCAGTGACGGATGGCGTGTGTGCGTGCATTTCCTACCGTGCAGTGCATCATCAGCGACATCTCTCGGTGTGTAGTGATTTCTCTCATTGTTATCGATGCAGAGAGTTGAGGAGTGGTGGGAGAGTGGCCTGTACGACGAGTAGGTGACGAGACGAGCAGAATAAGATAGCGATAATCGCACGGGATCTCGCCGGTCGTCGGTGAACGGGATCTTCCTGTTATGTGTGTGTGTTGCCTAAAGCTCACGCATTACTCTCTCTCGCTCTCTCAACACAACGCACCCACTCACAACACCGTGAGAGATTTTACGTATAGATCTATCCCAATCATTTTGAATTGGGGGATATCCCAAGAACAAGGCTAGACTCTTCAATACGAGCATGTCCACAGAAATTTCGGTGGACCAGTGGAGATCCGTAACGCGCTCCTTCATAGATCGCTTAATTTATCAATCGTGAGAAGTATAAAGCGATAAATTTTTGGTAAAAGCCTAACGGTCCAATTTTTCAAGTGGATCGTCCTCCACGAAAACCTAACAGGACCAGAGGTTTGACTCTTATTGTGACAGAATCTTGGGTCACATTGGGTCTTACAAAAAACGATACAATCCAAGCGTAGGACCCTATATTCGAGAAAAAATCTAGCGTTCTCTGAGCTCCCTCGAAAATTGACAATTCTCCTGACATTTGACATTGAGCCGGTAGATTTCCGCAGGAGACTACGCCAAAACCCACAGCATCGATACCACTGCTCCCCACTAAAGAACTAGATAAAACTGGAATGCCCCCTTCCTTAGGGAGAAGTTGGAGACCCTTGGAAACTGTTCAGTTTTTTATGGCGTCTTGCACGTCGATAGGGAAAACACGTACGTGCTGAGGTTATCAGTACGAATTACTACAGGTTCAATAGCCACGCAAGAGCGGCAGCCCTAACGCCGACAGTCCTGCAGGGGTGATGATCGCCAGCAAAGGCCTTGTCCAAGCCAATGAACCAGAGGTCTTCTGCAGCCTCGCATTCCAACTGCGAAACAAATAGGGAAATATCCAACCTCCGCTTTTTGTGCGTGAGTGTAATTTTTCAGCAGACATGTCTGTTAGCACAAAAAACACAAGAACCAGGTATGCCGATAAACAGATTGGTCGAGCCCAAAAAACCTTTATTGCGCTGAGCGAATACTTTTTCTGCAGCCAAGCCCACCGAGATTGTAATGATGTATAGTCACCTTATCAAGCGCAATCTAGTACGATTCTGGGAGGGGGGTGGTGGGGGGGCTTCGAGGGGACGGTACAGCGTGCCGGTCGAGCATTTTGTCAACACGTTGTCATTCGGCTGCTATTTATTTTGAAGCTCGGAGAGGCATTCAGTGTTGTTATACCCTTGCTGTAAAGGTCTTGATTACATGGGCAAGAACTTCAATGTTATGAGTTTAGCCGCTTGCGGACGTCACTTTGATTTTTCCTCAATGGTTCTGCCGCGATGCCCAGAGCACGGGCGACTAGAGAACGGTGAATGCCTTAGGACCAAGCTTCGGAGAGGAGAGGGATCCGCGAGAGAAGGCCGTTTGAAGGGCCGAGTTCAAGCAGTCCGTCGACCGAGTTCAGCTAGCTGGAAGAAATTCAGTCAGGGACTCTGCCAGGGCGGCAGATGCGCGTCGCCTACATTAGGCTGCTTTCAATAGTTCGCGCCCTCCATGATTAGGAAGTTACGCACCGTGAAGAAGGTATGTTCCGCAGGGAGATCAGAAGAGTGGCTAGATTATGTAGGATAGGCGTGCGACAAAATTAGACCGAATAATTGAACATCCGCCGTCGAGTGAATTAAGAGATTAACGATAAAGGGGATTCGTATTGACGCCATTCGGCTTGAAGAACGCTATCGTACTACTCTCCAGTGATTCCACAAACGTGTCCAGGGGTCAGCGCAGTATCCTACTATCCTAATATCGTGTCGCTACACTCTTGACCTCCCTCGCCGCGAACTATGAACGTGGTCTTGGCTCTGGTTGGAAGAGCATTTTGGTGCAATGAGGAAGAGTCCTTTTTCTGGAGAGATATTGAAGTGAGCATTTCTCTTGTATTTGTTCAAGTGAAGGAGAAAGGCGATTTTCAATAAATCGATGATGGTTATACATTTGGGGTGGACGGTCTCTGAGAAAGCGCCTCTAGAGAGATTTGAAGCAGACCAGGGAAGAATAAGCCTCTCCGAGACCCTTTTTATTTTGGTACGGTGAATTTGCCAGAGAGAGTCCTCATGAGTCCCGTGGGCAACACAGGCGAATAATCCCACGCTACATTTCGCAGACCTGCTCTCTTCTGAGAGACTGGAACCCATAAACTAATAAAATGAATAGATGTCATTTGCACATGGTTAATCTGCCGCCATCGGAACGATTAATCTTGGCGATAACCTCGCCGACCCAGCGCCATGCACTATACGCAGCAGTTCCATACGGGAGGATGACCGTTCGCATTTCGGCACCATTCTCTCTCGTTGCATCGCCAGCGCAACACTGGTCAGCTCTCCCGACCCCTCCGACAGCGCGTTATCTCTGATCAAGAAGTCACGCACGGTTATGACCGTATATAACAAAGGATATATGTGATCTTATTGTTGATGAAATGGAAAGAAGATGGTAGAGCACAACAGGCATGCGGGGTTTCTTCCACGATCAGGTTTTAGGGAGAAGCAGGATCAAGGGAAACAGTTATAACAAACAGCCTGGCGAAACCAAGTCATTATTTTAGTCTGGGCGAAGAAAGAACCTTCGAAGGGTTTTAGGTTAAAGCACAACCCCCGAGTACTACGCCCGCTTGTGGAAGGATATGTTAATTGCGAGGAAGCTGAAGCTCCCTACCCTGCCTACTAATCACGCCAGCGTTTGCCGCAAAAGTTGGCGCAGCTTAGAGGCGGCTAATCTTACGGCCCGTAACCTCTTACGCCCCATGTGTCTCACGCTTCCATGCCACCCGATATCGAGGCGGGTGGCGTGTTCTCTCGAACGGCGTGATCTCTTGTGTGCTTTGTCTTCTTTGATCAACCCAGCCCCGTTCCACATCCGACCTTTTCGATGAACAAGGCCTTAATTTCAGGTATCCCAAAGAGCTTTCCCTTCCACTTTCAGGCCGTCCCACAGCTCAATCATCACTATGAAGCGCTCTTGTCTCTAGTTTTATCTCGGAGCTTGACCGCGAAATGGAATTCCTCGCTCGCCGGTGCTCCCCTTGTCTTCATCAGTACTAGCAGAGCACCTCTCTTAAAGCCGTCTTACTTACAAACGGATAGAGGATCAATGAGCGATTCATTGAAGGTGTGCTATTGGAGAAGACCAGTGTGTGTTCCACATCCTAGATCCTGTCCAAATCCTATCCAATTTTTTGCACCTGGCGATCAACCCGGGTCTTTCTACTTTGATCTAGCGAAATGTACTATTTGATCAGGAGCCGCTTTCTGGAGCCATTGGCACTGAATTGTGAAAGCATCTCAGGAGTAGTTCCACACTACGCCGTTACTTGTCAGTAGTTTACTTCAAATGGATCGGTTACACGACATACGTAGGACAGTACAGGAGAAAGACATGGAGTGCATTTGCCCCTTCCTGAACTCCACTTTCACCCACTTCTACTGTTCTGTTTTGATTTATCTTCAGAAAAAAGTATGCTTGCTTTGAGCGAAAAAAGGAAGCATAGAGGAACTGCCCAAAACAGCGAATATTGGTGTCTGCAAAAGAGACGAGCGGCGCAACTTCAGTGTAACAGTATGACAATAATTGCGCCATGCACTCAATCTGTGATGCTTATTCGACCACAATATGTACTCGCGATTGCGGCTTCCCTCGGCTAAGTTCTACTAGAAAGAGGAGTACGTCGTAGAATTTTGAAAAAAGAATTTGGGCGAATAAATTCAAAGCAAATAAGGCTCAAACCGACCGCTATCAATACAATTGTTCCGCTCATCATTAGTAGAATCCCAACGACGAACATACCAGCCATGGTCAAGACGGTAGCCGCTGACGACGGACCTTTCTTGACGTGACTTACTTTGCTCTGAAAAGGTTTTGTATTTGTACTTCCTCAGCGATGAGTTTTTTTCTGCAGTTTACACCCGCTATTCTCAGCATTTTCTTCCCGTGTGGAGAAGTAATTGGCCAGCTGCCAAATACAGCCTGCTCAAAATGATCACCGAAGGCGGCATTTTGAGCAGGCTGTATTTGGCTAGCTTCTGAACGGTGATGGGGTAGGAGTTCACCGCGATAGAGCTTCTATTTTAGTGTGAATTTCTGACTCACTCATGAGGATAAGAGTGTTGCGGGCTGGTGAATATGGCGTCAAGCTTTTTAATCTCTCTTTACTCCCAGGTAGGTTCAATCCAGTTAGACGCAGAACATAAATATAGCCTCATTAGCGCTCAAAAAATCACAAGGAAAGATCAGTTGGTCAGCTTGGCCATTTAAAATGATATGAATACCTAAATACAAGCCTCGAGACACTCAGTTTGAAGTTATGAAGCAGGTGAACCTGACTAACAGTCAAGAGTTCGTAGGATTGACTCCCGACTCCACTCCACCTCCACCTTGGCTCGTTTCGGAAATATTTTAATTCCTGCTAAATCTCTAAAAAGTGCGAAAGTACGGTCTCGCTCTGAATTTGATCCTACGATTTTCTGCCTATAAGCCAAGGTCACCACCGCTGCTCTCCTCTGCTTCATATTTTTTGTCATGATTAGGTTCCCCTGATAACGGATAAATTATGAAGCATTCGCCGTTGATCAATCCTTTATGGGACGCACTTGTATTTTTGCATTCGCAGTGACATTTGAATGCGATTTGACCTGAGAGGTTTGGTTGGCCGGACGACGCACGAATCAGGATTCGATCCCCGGACCGCGCGTGTGATAAGCGTGCCACTTGCTACTACACTGCTACCGCTCCAGTTAACAAAGCAGAACACGGCCAAATAGTGATTTTCGAGAGCGCAGCTGTGACGCCGAATACAGTAGTGATCTCGAAGTGCTTGAGTATGCCAGCTTTCAGTTCTTAGATAAGCATGTTGGGATGGCCAGTACGAAGTCAAGTTTGATCTTCTTTTTCAATCTTTTTTCCACTTCTACGTCACCAACCTCGATTGTTATAGGTTATTCGGTTTTTTTTTCATCTGGCAATTTTTACCCTTGAGTCCTATGTTTTACATCAAATGGTATACCATTTGGAACAGAGTATCTTGCTCTAGAAAACGTTTACTTCTTTTCTACATTCAATCCACAGAAATGTGTCGAACACCAGGCATGCGATTTTGGAGGTACAGTCGACGAAAGTTAGCCTAACCAGCAACTAGCTCCAACTCTCTCCACTAATACGAGCATGAGCAATCATGTACTTAGTCATGACCTCTTCTAAACATCCTGCTAGTAGGTTGATAAGAGCCTTATCGTGTTTCATTCAGAATTTGGTCTTCTTAAAGGCGTGCCCCAGGATCACATTGGTGTGGCTCAGGCACACGAATGCGATTGCATTAGTGCGAAATGGGCCGACAGTAAAGAAAAAAGGAAACTCACTCACCTTCCTAATCGGCTGTGCTAAGGGAATGAGAGACTAAGCGCGGAGAGGAGAGTATGGGGCGAGAGAGCGCTACAGATGAGAGATCGCCAGACAACAGCCTGATAAGAGAAAAAAGTCTGCAGCTTGGGCAGCTTACTTTGCAAGGCCCAAGCGCTCTTATCGGTCGGTTTCCGTGCACGAGAACGCCACATTTGTGATTGTCTCTAGGGGCTCTATACCTACAGACCGAAGAGAAGTTCTCAGGACCTCACGCCTGGTTCTGCCTTGACGAACGCTTCTTTGATTTTTGAACAGACATGTATGCTATACAGCGTCATTCTTTAAAAATCACGTTACCATTCGTGATTTGATTCCGCCCTATTTCCCACCAAATTTTCTTTTATTTACAACCTGTGAATTGCATCGCTAACCACTACACCACCGACGCTGCTGGAGGATGTTGGCCAAATGCTCTTATGGAACTTCCACACGCTCTTTAGTACACAGCATGACCATCACCACGACAACTTTCCAATTTTGACCAAACTTCTCGATGTTTTCGAGACACACCTTACGAAGACCCTCCATTACGCAAGTAGTCCACGCCATGAATGAAACACACCACTTTTAACAAGTAAAAACTGCAGTTTCCAACAAAATGATTCTCACTCCTTTTTTGGCATTCAGAAGGCCATTTAGCGGAAATGGACCATAGATCTGTGTTCACTGCACCTGCCCCTATTTCATGCAAAAAACCGTTTTCAAAAAGCGCTCCACGCCCTGAACGACCTCCCCTCGTTAAGAAGATTAATAATCAGTTCAAACCATGTGTTGCCCACGTCGACTTCCATATCGACTCCAGTCATAACGTCTTTCTATGCACACTATCATTGTTGTGCGCCCTCAGCTGGCAAAACTTCAAGGCTTAATTTCATAGAAATAGTAATCAGCTATCGAGTTCTAGCGGAAAAAATAAATTTGAAAAAAGATTGGCATCACATTTTGAACAACAGCGGAATGTTTAGAAGAAGGTCGTTACTAAATATATCACTTCAATGATAGATTTCTCATGGTGAAAAACAAAGTTAGAGCTAGCTAGCTAGACGGTTTGGCTAGTTTTTGTCGACTAGACCTCCCACTTCGCAAGCCTGATACTTAACAAATTCACAATGAGAAGCAAGCACTCTCCTACAGCAGACACGATTCTTTTGAATGACACATAGTGATATACAGTACCCCCCGTAACTTTGTCAAATAAAATAAAAGCTTTCAATGGGAGCGTTTCCGTTCTAATACTTATGGCGAGCGACGCTTGCCAATGAGTCGCCTCAAGCACTTTGGAAATAAAAAATAATTTCCCTGAAAGTGAAGGGTACAGACCCATGAGACTTGAAGAGCTTTCTCTCAAAGTTTGTTTCCAATGAAGAAAGCAAACAGCCAATCACAGTTCAAACATGAGGATGAAAAAGACTCGATTCCGCGTTTTCCAGCGCTTTCTTTTTTTACCAAACGTATGGAAGATGGAAGGTACTGGAACATCATGCAAAACATAGAACTCCGGAGGGGAAATTTCCATCCGATGAGGAACGACATTCATCGAACAACCTGATAGAACTTCATGAGTACCAAGCTAACCGGAAATCGTCCACCGCTCATTTCGGTGAGTGGTTTGTCGAACTTTTCTGATTTTTTCTGATATCTTTCGAAGTTCTTCTGCTCATTTTAGGTAAAATACATGCGAAGTTGTTCCAGTGTTCATCTGTTCCAGTGTGGAGCTTACATGGGAGAAAAAACGACTAGTAGTGCACTAGTAACAGTTGAGCTAAAACCGAACGCTAGTGAAACCGTTGCCATCAGTAAAGCCTCAACGATACACGAATGAATCTGGTACCAAAGATCTGAGCGCCAGGAGCTGGCCGGCCGCAAGAAATCGTCTGCAGAATTGCTTTGAAGGCTCTCTATTGCGCTCACGGGTAAGCCCCCTACTGGAACAAATAGACAACTGTTACACACCAAAATGTGGAGCGAAATGCGAGCTTCCTAAGGACATTGAATCCAGAAAATAACTAACAAAATCTATAAAGCCATTAGTCAAAATGCGGCGAAGAATTGTCAACTTAGTAGTTTACTAAATCCACTCAAACAGAATTTATACCCTCGCACATTCAAACTTTAAAATTCGCCAGCGTGGTGAAAAGAAGCCAGGCTGCGCTGATCTCATTTTACGAAAGAAGTTTGAACTCACAATTAGACAAGGTGATGAATCAAGGAGTTCAGTTCTTTCAAAAAGCGAATCTCGCAACATCATCAGGTAAACGAATGGACGATCAGTTTGTTCCCTGGGATACTAAGCTGCTCAGAGGGGATAAAAGCCGCCTCAAATGCTATCGCTTCAGGTAGATGAATGGTGAGCACTCAACGCTGCCAACATGCGGGGAAGCACAATGAGTTTCCTGGTGTGGATTGATATATAAGACTTCTTGCAAGACGTATAGCTAGCCAATCTTTCTACCTTGAGGGTGCCTACCATACTGGGAACTTAAATAAGAACGTACTTAAGTAAGAAAGTAGTGAATGAAGTCGACAAAGAACTATAAAGAAGTCAACAGTTGTCAAGCTTTAGCGAGCAATGAAAATCTTATATAGAGGAAATGCTTCGATTACTCACCTTGTCGAACACCGGCGTGTCCATTCGTTCCAGAGGATCAGCATAGGAATATCGCTTCTTGGGAATCTTGATCTTCTGACTAAGTACGGGAGAATGCTCCTAAAAATGAGCAAGGTCAAATTCACATCATGTTAGAAACAGTTCCTTTAGTAAGCAGTTTTGTTCCTCGCTTGAAAACAATGCCATGAAAAAATAATCAATTTGTAAGTGCTAAGTGGTAAGAAATGTTTAAAAGAACATGCGATCAGCAGGACAAGAAACCTCAACGTTATCATATTAGCACGATTCTATGCGGCATCAGTAAGGCATCGGATTCAGGATTTTTT